TTTAAGCCACTACAGCAGAGTTTCTTGATACTCAGTCCTAGCTGATCTGAATGATGAGGGCTTGACCTAGAGAAGCTGTAGAGGGACAGAAGGGGGAATGCGGGGGATGCTTCGGAGATATAACTGATAAGACTTGACACCTGATTGGACATGAGAGGAGGAGGGAATCAAGGATGAAAAGAGTGAGTGTCTTGCCCTAGATAAGGAATAGAGGAGTAGAAACAGATTTTAGTGGACAGAGGTAAATCCTCACCATTTTAACAAGTTGCTAAGAACTGAACTGTGTCCCCCTAAAATTCATATATTGAACCCTAATGTGATGGCATTTGGAGCTGGGGCCTTTGGGAGGTAATTAAGTTTACATGAGGTCATGAGGGTAGCGCCCTCGTGATGGGACTAGTGAGCTTATAAGAAGAGGAAGGGACACCAGAGCTGTCCCCCTACCACATGAGGACACAACGAGAAGGCTGCCAGCCAGAGAGAGGGTTCTCACCAGGAACCCAATCGGCCAGCACCTTGACCTTGGACTTCCAGCCTCCAGAATACTGCGAAATAAATATCTGTTCCTTAAGCCAGCCAGTCTATGGTATTTTGTGTGGCAGCCCGAGCAAACTAATACCTAAGTACTGTACCTAAGTACTGTGTGTTGTGCTAATGAATGAGTTTTTTCTCCTATTGTCTCAAAATTGTACATAAACCCCCAAATTTAGGACAATGGACACCAAATACTCTCACATCTGAACAGAGCTGTGACACAGCCACGGAGGAGGAGGATCTAAGAGCAGACAGAAGCACCTCTGCCCCCCAGTCATCCCCCCTCCCAGAGCCCCTCCAGCCTCTATCAGCAGAAGAGCTAATACCTAAATTTAAGGGGATGCATTAGAGAAGAGAGCCTTGATCTAGGGGGAGAGGGCGGCCACTTTTCCTTTCCTGTCACATACCCCTCCCCTTCCCCAGCCAACCTCAAGAAAACCACTTACAAAGATTAGGGCTCAGTCTCCCTTTGGGTTCCCCCATAAGGAGACCTTGACACAAGGGTTGAAGGACAAGTGGTTCACTTGAGAGATGATCCCAGGAAACATCAAGAGGGCAGTGAGGAAGAGGAGGGGAAATGAGGGCAGTGAAAAGGGTTTGGTTATTGAGCAAGGGACCCCTTGAACAACGGAGCTGAATCCCGCTGGGGAGCGCTGGGGTCAGGGAGGAGCACGAGCCCCAGAGCTATCCCCCATCAAGGGACAAGGGGACAATGGGGGTTAATTCACCAACACTCATTAGCCATCAGCTGGGGGCTGCTGCTGGGCTGTTGATTCCCTGCACTTCTGTCTGCCACTCCTGCCAAGGCCCCCGTAGAAAGCTCTGGGGTAAAGAGATGCAGGGGCTGCCCCAGAAGTCAGCAAGTGAGCACTTTGGGGGGGCGGGGCACCCCAGCACCTGCTCCAGGTGGCCTGAAAGGAAGGAGGCTGAGTCTGTGTTAATGTCACAGGCTTTCCAACTTTCCCTCTAACTCAACGGGGAAGAAAAGAATTGAAGAGAGAGGATGGAGGAAGAAGCTGTGAGCTCCACCGTCAGCAACGGCACGGGGGCGGGTGGTAAGGATGGCCAGGGGGCAGGACCGCGGAGAGGTCTCCACAGGGCCCTCGGAGAAACCCACACGGGGGCCCCTTGGCTCTCAACCTTCTCATCCCCCACCCCGTGCGGGTCCCTGCTGCCCTGGGTCAAGTGTGTGCTGCAGGGAGGGAAGAGGGCACGAACTAGAATGCGGAATTGAAGTTCTCAGCTGCAAATAACCAGAGAGCTGTGGGATCCGCCTGCAGCAGTATGAGAGGGAGACAGTAGTGTGTATTGCGCCCCCACGTGGTCAAGAAGGTCCAATACCTCCACATGGCGATGCTACTGAGTACCAGACACACAGCCCTGTGCTTGGCATCGGCGAGCTCGGTTAATCCGCTCAGCAACATTACGAGCAAGGCATTACCGTCCTGATTGTACAGCTGAGAAACGTGAAGCTCATAAAAGCCACAGAGTTTGCTGAGAATCGTACAGCTGATGTGTAGCGGAGTCTAAATTCAAACCCAGGCAGCTCTGCCTGACTTTTAGGTTAATTTTAGATGCCTCGTTCATTGACTGGTAGGTGGAGAAACAAATCATGCAATATCCATACAATAGAATACTACTCAGTCATAAAAAGGAACAAACTACTGCTGCAAGACAGAACATGGGTGAATCTCAAAGACATTACCATACGTGAAAGGAACCAGGCACATTCTGTGGGACGCCATTTCTGTGAAATTCCAGAAAAGGCAAAATACAGGGACAGGAAGCAGATCAGTAGTCGCCAGGGGCCAGAGATGGGGGAGGCAAGGGGGCCATGAGGAAACTGGGGGGGGGGGGTGCCAGAAATGTTCTATATCGTGAGCATGGTAGAGCTTATGCTCTTGTGTGCCTTTGCCAAGACTGCGATAGCCGCTTGAAACGGTCAATCACATTATATACAAATTACACCTCAATAAAGCTGATAGAAACCTTGGACGCCTGAGTTGGAAGTGCCAGTGGAAATATCATGGCAGAGATGGGTCTGGAGTTCAGAGGACGTGCTTGGCTGCAGAGTTTGTGAGTCATCGGGGTATCGCACAATAGACACCTGGCAAGTGGATGAGCTTACCGAGGGAGAATGTGCAGAGCAAGAAAGGCAGAAAAAGGAGCATGCAACCCTGCAAAACCCCAAAATTAAAGGGGCAAAGCTCAGGAAGGAGACTGCAAAAGAACCATCAGAGCAATGGAAGGAAAATCAGAAACGGTGTCCAAGAAGTGACCAGAGAGGGCTGTTATGTAAGCCCTTGGTTCTTCCTTGGCTAATGTGGCTCTGGAAACCAGGATGGCAGAGTGGGAGGAAAAGTGAAGCTAATGCGGGCAGCAGAGGGGGACAAGGCAGGAAGGGAGCAAAGCTTTTCCTCGTGCTTGAGCAGGTGCTGAGAAAAGGGTAGCTCCCCATCCCCCTGCCCACGCTACCCACCCAGCATCATCCTTGGTTCCTCAGACACAGAAACCCAGAAAACCACACCCTGCTGAGGACTCCAGACCTCCCCCAAGGGTGTTAGCAGAACCAAGGGGGTTCTGGCCATGTTAAGGCACAGGCTGGGTGCAGGGGTGGGAGGTGGCAGAAACAGAGAAATTAAAAGTCAGATGAGAGGCAGCAGAGGAGAAAAAAGGAGAGAGAATAGAGAGAGAATCTAGAGAAAATCTCTGGCCAGGAGGGGCCTCAGATGAATTCTAGACCGCCTCCCCCCACCTCGGAAATTGAGCAACTGAGACAAAAGAGGAGAAAGAGGAAAAGATAAAAGCAGTGACACTGGCCGATGTTTGCGCCTCGTTTATCCACTCAACAGACATGTGTAGACAGCTTACTGTGTGCTACAGGCCAGGAATCAAGGTCAAAAAGGGCAGAGTCCGGCTCTCTGGGGGTCCACAGTCCAAAAGAGGGGACAGCCACGTCCCGTGGAAAGTTACTCTCTGTGCTGCTCACGAGGGTCAGTGTCTCAAAGCTCCCAGCCCTTAGTTCTCAAAGTATTTGCATGAGCCGGGGTCAATACAGATTTGGGGGGTCTGAAGCTTATTCGGAGATGCCTCTTGTGGAAAAATAATTCAAAATTATAAATGCAAAATTGGGTACAAAAGTAGAAGGGGTCTGTGCAAGTGAAAGACCCTGAAGCTTAAGCTTTTTTGGCTTTTATAGCAATTCCTGCTCTGACCACACTTAAGTTGTAGGGAAAGTAAGTACCTCTAAACTGGGCCAGCAGTGCCCTCTAGTGGAAACGCAGAGGAAAGCCTCAGAGAGCCCCAAAGCTCGGATACAGCTGCCCCGCACAGCACAAAGCCAGGCATGCCAATTTGGCCATCGGCTTCCCCGAAGTTTCTCATCAGCCCCACCTTCCAACCCCAGAGTTGTGTCATTATCATTAGAGGTTCAGAGATCAGCATGTACAGTTACCTGCAGTTGGATCTGAGGCAAGTATCTACCCTTCTGAACTTCAGTTTCCTTTCCCATAAATAAGATGTATCTGTATACGATTAAATTAACTGTCTACTTTGAAGGGTGGATCTAAGGATTAAATAAGATGACTCACATGTAAGTGCTTTATACAAAGGGCAGTTTGATGTGTACGTTATTTTTTAAGGAGAATGTATTGACACTGACCTATGTTTCTGCTTCTCAATCAACTCTTCTGAAGAAATCACCTTTACTATGCCCCCAAGACGGACCACGCAGGGCCCCAGTTACACTGTGCAGGATGGAAAGGGGGGGTGTGTCTACCTCATGCACAACTCTGCAGCCCCCAGGAGAGTCAGGTGGGAGTTTATTCATCTCCGGAGCACCCCCAGCATTTCCCTTCCAAAAAAGTCTTTAAAAAAGTCGGTGTGGGGACTTCCCTGGTGGCGCAGTGGTTAAGAATCCGCCTGCCGATGCAGAGGACACGGGTTTGAGCCCTGGTCCGGAAAGATTCCACATGCCGCAGAGCAACTAAGCCCATGCGCCACAACTGCTGAGCCTGCACTCTAGAGCCCGCGAGCCACAACTACTGAGTCCGCATGCCACAACTACTGAAGTCCGCGCGCCTGAAGCCCGTGCTCCGCAACAAGAGAAGCCACCGCAGTGAGAAGCCCACGCACCACAACGAAGAGTAGCCCCCACTCGCCACAACAAGAGGGAGCCCGCGCGCAGCAACGAAGACCCAATCAACCAAAAATAAATAAATAAATAATAAATTAAATAAATAAATAAATGGCCCTAGTGGGACTTCCCTGTTGGCCCACCGCCTTCCCTGCGCTTCCACTGCCAGGTGGCCCAGGTTCGATCCCTGGTCGGGGAACGAAGATCCCGCAAGCCACACAATGCAGCCAAAAATAAATTAATAAATAAATGCCCCTAGTGATGAAAATGAATAAATAAAATTTGGTTCATTGCCACCATAGAATACTATACAGCTGTGAAAATAAATTACCTGGTTGTGAACGTGTCAACACAGATGGACAGCAAAGACAAAATTTTGTGTCTGTGCATTCTGCAGCTTGGTTTCTGAGGCCTTCTCTTCTTTTTCCTCCCTGATCAGTCCAGCTAGAGATTTATCCATTTTATTGATCTTCTCAAAGGATGACCTTTTGAAAATAAAATAATTGGAGTAATTTTAGACTTACAGAAAACTTGCAAAGATAGTCCAGAAAGTTCTCATACACCCCCCCACCCACCCAGTTTCAGGTTCCCTTTATATTACTATCTCACATTACTGTTGTATATTTGTTAACTCTAAGAAACCAACACTGATACATTATTATTAACAAAACTCTAGACTCTGGATTTTCCAGGTTTTCTATTAATGTCCTTTTTCTGTTCCAGGATCCATTCTGGAATACCACTTCATGTTTTGTTGTGTTAGTGTCTTCTGGTCTGTGACAATTTTTCAGCCTTCCCTGGTTTTTCATTACCTTGACAGTCTTGAGGAGTGCTGGTCAGGTATTTTGGAGAAGGTCCCTCAATTTGGGTGTGTCTGATGTATTTTCTTGTGATTTGGCCAGAGTAATGGATGTAGGGGAAGAATACCTCAAGGTGAAGTGTCCTTCTCATCTGGCATATCAGAGATGACTAGTATCATTTGGTTAAGGTAGCATTTGTCAGGATTCTACATCAACACTTACTATCTTCTCTTTCCATAATTTACTCTTCAGAATTGAGTCACTAAGTCTAGCCAACTCTCAAATGGAGAGGTGGGAATTAAGCTCAACCTCCTGGTGGGGGCCAGGGGTGTCTGCATATACTATTTGGGATTCTTCTACAACGCATATTTGTCTCTTCTCCTTTATTTATTTATTTATTTATTCATTCATTCATTCATTTATATCATTACAGACTCATGTATATTTATTTTATAATCTGTGTTATGATCCAATATATCATTTAGTTTGTTGCTTGAATTGCTCCAGCTTTGACCATTGGGAGTCCTTTCAGGCTGATTCATCTGTCCCTCTGACATACCCTCACCCCCTTCTCTCTTTGTTAAGAACTCTCCTTACTTTCTGGTACTACGGACTGCTCCAGGCTCATTTGGATTTTCTCTTCCCCAGTCTAGAATCCATTTTTCAGTCTCATTTCTTTTCTCTATTTTTCCTCTGCTTTCCACTTTACTGATTTCTGCCCTTCCCTTTATTACTTCCTCTCTTCCACTTATTTGGAGTTTAATTTGCTCTTTTTTTCCTCTCATTTCTTAAGGTGAAAGTTGATGTCCTTGATTTAAAACTTTGAGACCCGTCTTTTTTTTTTTTTTAAGATATTGGGGGTAGGAGTTTATTAATCTATTTATTTATTTTTGCTGTATTGGGTCTTCGTTTCTGTGCGAGGGCTATCTCCAGTTGTGGCAAGCGGGGGCCACTCTTCATCGTGGTGCGCGGGCCTCTCACTATCACGGCCTCTCTCGTTGAGTAGCACAGGCTCCAGAGGCGCAGGCTTAGTAGTTGTGGCTCACGGGTCTAGTTGCTCCGTGGCATGTGGGATCCTCCCAGACCAGGGCTTGAACCCGTGTCCCCTGCATTAGCAGGCAGATTCTCAACCACTGCGCCACCAGGGAAGCCCTGAGACCTGTCTTTTGCTGATAGATGTATTTAGTGCTATAAATTTTCCCCTAAGCACTACTTTAGCTGCATCTCACAAATTTGGATATGTTTTATTTTCATTCTAATTCAGTTCAAAATACTTTCTAATTTCCCTTTTATTTTTGGACCTATGCATGATTTAGAAGTATATTATTTCATCTCCAGATATTTGAGAATTTTCCAAGTATCTTTATGTTATTAATTTCTAATTTAATTCCATTGTTGTTAGAGAACATATTTTATATGACTTGAATCCTTTTTAAATTTATTAAGACTTTCTTTAGGGCTCACTGTACAGTCTATCTATCTTGGTAGATGTTCCATGTGCCCTTACAAAGCATGTATTGCTGTTGGGTGGAATGTTCTGTTAATGTCAATTAGGCCAATTAACATGCTGCTCAAGTCTTTAGTGGCATTCCTGATTTTCTGTTTACTTATTCTATCGGTTATTGAGAGACGGTTGTTGAAATCTCTGATATAATTGTGTATTTGTCTATTTCTCCTTACAGTTCTATCAGCTTTTGCTTCATGTATTTTGAAGCTCTGTTATTGGACCATAAACATTTAAGATTGTTATGTCCTCTTAATAAATTAATTGACCTACTTATCATTGTGAATAACCCCCCCCCTTTCTCTCTGGTAATATTCTTTACTCTGAAATCTACTTTGTCTAATAGAAAAAGTTACTCCAGCTTTCTTTAGAATGTCTTAGGCTGCTGTAACAAAATACCACAGACAGGGTGGCTGAAACAACAAACATTTATTTCTCATAGTTGTGGAGGCTGGAAGTCCAAGATCAAGCTGCTGGCAGATCCAGTGTCTGGTGAGGACCCACTTTCTGGTTTGCAGATGGTCTTTTCCTCATTGTATCCTCACATGGCAGAGAGCAGAACAAGAGAGAGGAAGAAAGCTCTCCTACATCTCTTTTTACAAGGGCACTAATCCCATTTGTGAAGGCTACATCCTCATGACTCTATTAACTCACAAAGGTCCTACCTCCAAACACCATCACATTGGGGATTAGGTTTCAACATATGAATTTGAGGGGGCAGGGGGAACTTCAGTCTATAGCACCATATTTTTTTCCATATTTTACTTTTAATTTATTTGTGCTTTATATTTAAGGTGGGTTTCTTATAAGCAGCATATAGTTAGGAGGTTTTTTCCCCAACCTGTCAATTTCTTTTATTTTTGTATTGTTTACGCCATTTCCATTTAATGCAATTATTGATATGGTTGGTTTCAACCTACCATCTTGCTACTTGTTTTCTGTTTCTCCCATCTTTACTTTGTTGCCTTTTCTCTCTTTTTCTGCCTTCTTTTGGACTAATTAAGTATTTTTATGATTTCCTTCTATCTCTTTCTTTGGCTTATAAGCTATAACTCTTTTGAGTGTTTCTGTGATTGCTTCAAGATTTACACTATACATCTTTAACTTATCTCAGTCTGTCTTCAAGTGATATTTACCACTTCATATATATTACAAGGATCTTTCAACACTTTACTTCCTTTTTTACCACTCTTGACCTTTGTGATGTTGTTGTCATTCATCTTATTTTACATATGTTTTTAAAAACCCACAATTCGTTGCGACTATTTTTGCTTTTAAAAGCCAATTTTCACTTAAAGAGATTTCAAAGAAAACAAGCTTTCACATTTACACACATAGTTACCACTCCCAGTGCTGTTTATTCCTTTATGCAGATCCAGATTTCCATCTGGGATCATATTCCTTCCACCTAAAGGAATTCCTTTAACATTCTTGTGAAGGTCTGCTGGTAATGAAATTTTTAGCTTCTGAAATTATTTCTTTTTTACATTTTTATATCAGTTATAGCTTCATTTGAAAGATACTTTTGCTGGGTATAGAATCCTAGGTTGACTTCTTTTTCAGGACATTACAGATGGTGCTCCACTGTCTTCTGGTTTACACTGTTTCGAACAAGAAGTCTGATGTCATCCTTATCTGTGCTCTTTTTTGTGTAATATATGTGGGGTCCCAAAGGTCACCCACATATTCAGAAATCTGTTAGAAGGACTCATAGGATTCACCATATAGCTGTACTCATGGCTAAGATCAATTATAGCAACATATAAGGATACAATACAGTAAGGATACACAGTAGGGGTACACAGTGAGTATACATAAGGGGAAAAGACACAGGAACAGCCTGGAGGAACCCATGTACAGACTTCCTTATGCTCTCTCTCCCATAAGTCGTCACACAGTGCACTCTTCCCCTACAGTAAAAATAACGGAACATGTGTGATATTCCTACCCAGAGAAGCCCATTGGATACTCAAAGCTTATATTGGGGGGTTGGTCATGCCAACTCTGCCTAGCATGTACTAAAATTCCAGACTTCCAAAGAGAAAGCAGGTGTTCATCTTAAATCACATTGTTTGCACAAATGGCAGGCACAGTGCGCCACTCCTACCAGTTAGGAAAGGGTGGAAACCCCCCACCCCAAAATCCAACTTCACAGACACCAGCCAAGGGCCAAATTTTCTAAGGATAGTAGTCTTAGGCCTGCAATGTTAAGTCTTTTCTGCACAAAATGTCTTCTTTTTCTATTTATGCCTTTAAGATTTTCTCTCTATCACTGGTTTTAAGCAATTAGCTAATGATGTGCCTTGGTGTCATTTTCTTTATGTTTGTGATTTTGGAAAATTTGGAAAATTTGATACCAATATTTCTTCAAATAGTTTTTTTGTATCCTCTCTCTCTCCTCTCTCTCCTCTTTCAGGGACTCAAATTACACTTACATTAAACTTAATCTTTTCCTACAGCTCACTGATACTCTTCATTTTGGTGGTGGTGGGGGTCTCTTCTCTCTGTTTCATTTTGCATAGTGTCTCTAGCTATATCTTAAAGTTCAATAAACTTTTCTTCTTCAGTGTCTAATTGACCATAAATCCCATTTAGTATATTTTCCATCTCAGACATTGTAGCTTTCATCTCTAGAAATTTTATCTAAGTCTCTTATTTTCTGATATTTTTGATGTCTTTACTGAAATATAATTGACATGTATTAAACTGCACATATTTAAAGTATGATATTAGATGAAGTTTTGACATATATAAACACCAATGAGACAATTGCCACAATCAAGGTAATAAAATAATATAGAGCGCATCCATGGACCACAGTGGAATCAAACTAGAAACAAAGATACAGAAAAATTTCCACGTGCTTGAAAACTAAGCAACACACTTTTAATAATCCTTAAGTTAAAGAGGAAGTTTCAAAGAAATAGACAAATAACACTGAATGAATATAAAACATATGGAAATCATGGGACACAGCTAAAGCAGGGACAAGAGGGAAATGTATCGCATTAAATGCACACATTAGAAAAGAGGAATGTGGGTGACATCAGAAACATGGCAGAGTGAAAAATCTACCCTTGTCTCTCCCCGTCAATCTACAGCCAGTAAAAAAAAATCCACAACTCAACAAAGGTGCCTCTGCCCAACATAACAGGTCGCGGAAGAATTTCACACATTTGCA